CAATAAATAAATAAAGTTTCGTGCATTAACCCGTAAAAACTAGTTTTATTTGTACAAAAAATATTTCTTTTTTAAACTCGCTAAATAAAATGAGTTTCATAATATTGGAATTGAACAGTTTGCTTTAATATTACTTATATATACAGAATCAAACCCCCCTCACTTAGGTAACTATCTAGTGATATGTAGAAACACATTTTGATCTTAGGTTCTAATTTTATGTATTGATTAAACTAAACTAAAACTTAAAAACCAATTGGGCATCAATCTCTCATTCTCATTTTTTAAAGAGCATGAAAAAGACATACTACCGTCAAAATTAGTTTTAGAGAATCAATGCAGAATCAGGACCTGGGGATCCACAAACAAAGATACACAGAACACAGAAAGAGGTTAGAAGGGCGCTTCTACCGTTTGTCCAGGAACTAATAGATAATAGCCAATCATACGACATCAAACCATCGAACCAATCAGCGCTTCGCAACCGAGAGCAACGATGCAATCAGAACTAAATTTTGGTCAAGTTATGAGCTCATACATAACTGTGACACGCGCCTGCCCCGCCCACAAGGGCCTTCTAACCTCTTTCTGTATTCTGTGCAAAAAATAGTACAGATAGCATGTCCATGATGCGTGTTAAAGTGAAGCTTCTTTTCGCACGGGATGTAAATGGAAAAATCGGAAGAAAGGTGAAAATGCGTCACGAGCGTCACACTAATATATGTATGTGTCTGCGTGGAATGCGCGCGCAGCTCTTCCCGGCGTGCAGGTAAGTTGGAGGGTAACTCACAGCATCACATGCGACAATATAATATATATATACATATATATGAGTGATGCGTGCGCTGCTCCATTCCCCTATGCCTTGCACCGCCTAATGTTAGGTTATTTAAGAAAAGAAGTTTCACTTCAGATGTAGTGGTCCTTGAAAACAATTTTTGTTGCATTGCATTGCACGCCCGAAAAGACATTCAAATGTTCTGCTTATAGTGTTGACTAACCGCAGAAAGTGTAAAACAAAAAAACAGCATATAATTAAAAATCAGTACTCGTTTGATAATGACATTTTGCACTTGCAAACTATTCGAATTCGATATTGGTTCGTGCTAAGGCTACTGTATCTCCTTTTCACTCCCTACATAGCAGTATTTCTTAACCTTTTAGTGATGAGGGACCATTTGCAAAATTGTATGGCCCACGATTACAATAGGGTATTTGACAGTGTTAAAAAAAAGTGCCAATTATTAGCATCTGTGTTTATAATGAAAAATAAAATGATGTGGTGTCGTGGGACACCAGGTAGGAACGAAGTTCCTTCGGCTAATGTAGAATCGACACAAATTGCAAACTCGCTTGTGTATGCGACTGTCGCGCCTGCGCACGTCTCATTTAACGGTTTTATTCCACGCACTTTTTCTTACGGTTTTACTATCACATTTTTTTCAGTTCGGTCGCGCAGCAAAATCCCTATCCCCTCCAAGCCTACCGTAAGGAACTTCGTTCCAATATTGGCAGGGGTTTTTGTAAAAATAGTAAATTAACAAACATTGATTAGATACCTGTCGAAAAAACGACATTTTACATTCTATAAGTATTTTTTTCGCATGTTTTCACGGAGCTAAGCGGCATGTTGACTTTTCAACGGTCCGCGCGTGACTGTGAATCAAGAATAGTCCAGTCAATGAAGGTTTTCACCTCCGATTTCGTTGAATCTCCATCGATTTTCATCAAAATTGTTGAGTAGGTGGGGGATACCTTAAGAAACAAAAGTGACATAGTGCCAACTTGCGCTTTTGCCCTGGGGGTAGATGCCACCCCTGCCCGGGGTTGAAAATTATTTTAATAAAAACAACTCCAGAAAAAGTTTTTGAGTTATTTATGAAAAACCGCTTTCAAACATGTATTTTTATCACGAAAAATCACAATCTTTGATCTTTAATAACACAGAAAGTATTGATTTATTGCACAAACCTTATATAACAAATTTCACTTAGAATTTGTCTTTCTATCGATTTCTGGAGTTGTTTTTATTAAAATAATGTTCACCCCCGGGAAAGGGTGGCAACTACCCCCAAGGCAAAAGCGCAAATTGGCACTATGTCACTTTTGTTTCTTAAGGTATCCCCCACCTACTCACCATTTTTTATGAAAATCAATGGAGGTTCAACGAAATCGGAGGTTGTAGCTGATTTTTGTCTTCATTGACTGGACTGGAATGTGGCTTGAGACGTGTTCTAGCACTTCTTGATTGGGACATATTTTGAGCGCACGTGGTGTATCTAGGGTATTTAATATCGTTGATTGAAACCAGAGGTGGTTAATATAGCGTCTAGCGCCATATTATAGCGCGCTATTTGTCCATAGCACGTATCGCGTGCTATTTAAAAAAGCTACAAGACGCTAACGCTATATAGCACATATTGAGTTGATTGACCGCGCGCGGCAGCGGGCAGCGGGAGGCGCTAGACGCGACGCTATCAGGCAGGCCAGCCAGTAATCGCGTGCGCGTTGATAGCAGCGGTTCGTTACTATTGATTTTCGCAACGTCGCGTCGCAGCAGGAAAACTATTATCGCGGGCGATAAATAGTTTGCGTGGTTTCTAACATTATTTTTTAAAAGAGTTTGTGTTTGTGATCACGAAATAAACTATTAATAACCGCATATATAAAAGACGATATCAAAATACATAAATATTGTAAAACATTACTTGCAATATTTAAAATTAGTTAGCTAAAAATGGCGGTACAACAATAATCTAGACGTGTGAAAATAAATAAAAGAAATAAAAATAGTAATTGTATTAGTTGACCCGACCAGGGATCGAACCCGGGATCCTGCGAGATTGTGACGCAATACATAATAAAACTCAACGATATCTAGCATCTAGCGTTCTGCAAGATTTAACGTGGCAACGGACCGCCACAAGCTTCCAAGTAAATAGCGCGCTATTAACATAGCGTATATAATAGCGCGCTTTTTAAAAGTAGCATATAGTTTGCAGCACGCTATTGCTTTATAGCTACTTTGAACAACTCTAATTGAAACACTGATCTACTAAAGAGACCAAGTGCTTCACAAAAAAAAATTAACACATATCTTCCTCAGAGATTTTTATACAGATACTACATTTTACAATGAATACCTAGTTAATGTACAAATCAGGAAAACTAAACCATAGCGCGTATCAGGACGCGTTCACCACCATCTATCGAGTCAAAAGTGAAAACATAATTACAAACAACCAGAGTACAATATTATATTTAACTACTAGTGGGCCGCCCTCGCTTAGCTTCGGTGTAGAGCTGTAGTGTAGACTAAAATGACTCTTCATATAATTATAAACCTTCAGTGAAAATTAGACATACTTTATTAATTTACTATTTATGGTTGAATGCGCAAATCTCCTAAAATACTGGTCAGGTTTGATTTTTTTATGCTACCTTTATAACATCACGCTAGGACGGATCGGAGGAATGATGAAAAATGTTGCAAAAACAGGTAAAAATACTCCATTTGTGTGCTTCCGTTGCGTGCGCTGGGTAAACGGTGAAAGTTACACAAAAATCATGTATGACGGAATTGTTTTCCTTTAATCTGTAATTACGCAAACTTTTTTGTAGAACTTTCTACAAAAAAGTTTGCGTAAGCATATGTCCATCTTTTAATGTTATTTTTGTGTTACAATTAGTATCATCGGTGACTCATCGATAAGCAATGAACAATACCCGTCACAAAATACATGAATCTAGTGCTTGGTGGGTGATAACGGACCCAGCGCGGATTGGTGGGTTTTTTTCTATCAACAAATCTTCAGGTTAAATTAATGATTTTCAGTTCATTGGAGCTAAAGAAGTTTCACTTCAGTCGTGTGGTCATAAGCACACTCATTTTTTTTTATTATTTTTGAGACTACAATGATTCAGTTTTAGGCACACATTTCGTCTACTGTCTAGAGACGTGTGACATACGCACTGACATACAGATTGATAGATAGACATCAATATGGTTCCGCTAATTACCCTTTTGGTACGGTACCCTAAAAAACAAAGCACACCCATAGAATAAAACTGCTGTCCTCAAGCTTAAACGCGGCCAAATGACAAAACCAACTTTAGAGATATGTATGGCCAAAAAACGGCGCGTAAACTTTCAATTATTGCTATTTTGTAACCATTCATCACATGACGGATTTTTAGACTTAAGCTATAAAAGATACGAATGCTTGTTAAAGACAGATCCATAGAGAATTAAAAACTGTATAAGATGCAATTTAAAACTGAAAAATCGACCACATGCCACTTAGCCGCTCTTTAGTTTGAGGACGGCAGAAAAGTGATCTAATGATTTCTCCGTAACACTGCATTTTACTATTTTTACTAAAAAAATATTCATCATTTTAATAGAAACTAACGAAAGAGATAATAGTTTTCTTATCTATTGTCACGTGACCCAAAACGCTTGGGATTGGCGGAGCCTAAAATGACGTTACACACAAGTAAACTTACTGTTAAAGTGACATTACATTGTATCGTTTGAAGTTTTAATAACAGTCGTGTGACGTCACACACTAGTAAGACGCCATATTGTCCAGAGAAACGTTTTCGAGGCAACTTGACAATGGAGTTTTTGATTTGGTTATTTTTACTGAAATACACAACAGAATGATAATTTACGGACTCCATGAACATTAGTCAATAACGTGAGATCGTTTTCTAAAACTTATCAAATACCCTATTTGCAATTTATTAGTTGATCAAATATAGGTCTGTAAAGAATGCCTGTGTATGGGTTTTACTGCCATCCGAAGCTATGGCACCTTCGGTCTTAGGATTAATACCCCCTCATTGTTTGGAAGTAATAAATTTACTGCATTCTTACTGATGTCATATTTCTTCGAATGACTTCGCATTTCACTTCGGGTGCTTCCAAAGACCACCGGTTTAGAACCACTGCATAAAAGGCAAAGTGGTATTCTATTCGTTTTTATTTATTAATTCATCTATATCTTCTCGTAAACTCTGAAGTAGTATGTGATGTCTCCTTCTGTCTGCAGATCTGCTGGGACACCATCCTCTTCGACTAGTTTAAATTGTTCTCTGTCGAATTTAGGAAAGAACGTATCACATTCAAAGTTTTTCTGTATCTCAGTCAGGTATATTTTTCCACAGTTGGGGTGACTCAGTGCAGCCTAAAACAAAAAATGGACAACATTTAAACAAGTTGTGAGTGCAATTTATTTGTAATAGAGATTATATAAGTTATACGGAACTTTCCATTTGTACCTTAATCATGGATGCTCATTTCAAAATAAAATATAATTACATATGTTTTAGTATATGTATTGTATCCATTACTATAGCATCCCGTAAGCTTACTTTGGGGCCTTTAATTGGTGTGTGTGTGGGAAATTATTTATTTATAATATTTTGATATAATATAGTGGTGAAGAACACCTTATAAAAAATTAACACCTTACAAATGTAATTTGTTGCCCTGAAAAGGTGAAACAAGGGAAGATTTTTTTCAACGGAAAATATATAATTCCAATTAGGTACATATTTCTTAGTAAAGTCAAGAGGTTCTAAATACTCATTTAACCCTCAGAATACTATTCAAGTATTTTAATAAAAATATATTGGTCATAGATGAGCTTGATGGCACAAGTGGTTAGCACTTTCGTCTGTGATAGTAGAAGTTCTCGAGCTCCTCCTTGCTTCGAAAGGCATGTTAAGCCCTTAGTCCTGGATGCATCTGCAGTTGTTAGCACCCACCAATCCGCACTGGGCGGGCCAGTGGTAGGTCATGGCCCAATCTCCCTATTCCATTCATAAGGAAGGCCTGTGTCCCCATCAATGGGGACATTAATAGGCTAATGATGATGATATTGGTCATGAGACAGTTGCATAGCAAACTTTGTCATATCACACTTATATTATAAAGGCGAAAGTTTGTAAGTGTGGGTGGGTGAATATACGCTATTGGGAATTTTGTTGGCCCACTTGAAAAAAATCACCATTTGATTTCAAATTCATTATTTGATGAGGAGATTAACTGTTTTATTGGTATTTTTAAGGGCCAGAAGATATTGAATGGTTTTACAGGTTTATGGCTTCCAGGGGAAAATTCAGTGTCAGGGGAGTGACATTACTGACAGAGTAGTGACAAATACAACCAGGGGAATGACTGGCTAGTAACAATTAGTTAGGAAACACATTTAGATACATTGAAAAGAAAGACGGATTAATTGTTTTTAATTATTTTTATTAAGTTTGAACTTTAATCAGTTTTTTGCATTACAAAATGTTTTCTTTTAATAAAATTAGTAGGATGATATTATTTCCCTAGTATTAGAACAAATATAAATATGTTTTCTTAAGAAATTCTACTTATCAGTCTTTTCCGACATTATATTAGTAGTACTTAAGTACCTATTCTTATAATCACAGTAATTGTTTAGAGATCGCTATAATAAAAACTCTTACTTATAATTAAAACCTCACTGAATGTAATTATATAATCAACAAATAAACCCTATCTTACAACAAAACTTAAAAATCCTTTTCCTTACAACAAAATAACAAAATATTATATCATTTAATTTTAATGAGGTTCTTAACTTCAAACTGCTCTAAAACTAATTACAAATTACTTTTCAAAAACATCAACAGGCTTTTGAAACTTGTAAAACATTCTGTTACCTTTCATTACTATCTTTGGAACAGGTAATATTGTCAAAATTTCTTCCCATTTGACATCAGATACATCGTTATCATCTATTTTAAAAAGAGTACCTTTATCATTACAGATCTTTAGAAAAGTAACACGAATATCATCTTCATCATCATTAAAATCAGATGAACATACACCAGCATATCTGTATTTTTTGCCATTTATCTCATATTTTACAAGCACAAAATCTCCGTTCTTAACAACTTTTGCATCACTATTTTTTACTTTGTTCTCATTATCATTCTTTGTCCGTTCTATATTTTCCTGCAGTTGATTTTGGATAACTTCACAAAATAATAATTTCCTTCTTCTCTTCTTCTTTTCACTGTTGCTATTTAAATGTTCATTAACCTTCGAGTTTGGGGTCATTTTCTTTTTTTGGATACGCCTTAGCTTCCGTTGATAATCATGTACCTTTTGACGTAATCTTCTTATTTCATTTTTCTGTTTATTACCAACTCTATTCCTTTGTTTACGTTGCCTTTCTGATCGTCTTTTAGCAGCTAATGCCACATCATTCTGTGGAATTGGTTGGTTGTTCTTCGTTATCAGGTGAAGGAGGTGTTATCGGACAATTTCTAGAAGATTGTTGCTTTATCAATGTCTATGCTTTCTACTCTTCTCTCTCCATGTTTTTCTAATAGCCCTTTGCTCTCTTTCAGTCATATCCTTCATGACTTTAATTTGTCCTTTCTCCTTTTTTTAAAGTATTTAAGCTTTTCTTTGTCTTTTAACACAGCATTTTTACTGGATCACTTTTTATTCTTTGATAGCGCAATCTTTCAGCCTGACGCTTTTTTTCAAGCCTTTCTTCTCTTATTTGCTTTTTTTTCGCGTTCGCCATGATGTCATCGCGTTAGTAAAACCAACAGCAAACTAAAACAAATGTAACTAAATGTTAAATCAATTTGTTAGTTAAATCAAATCATTTAATTCAATTTTTGTCACTACACTGGTTCGTTTATATTTCCCCTGGCACTAAAACTGCCAGAGAAGTGACGCCAGGGGAGTGACAAAATAACATATAACCTAAAAAATATACACAATGCAATCTTTATACTGAAATAATACGAAATACAGGCCATCTACTCATTTGTAACAATACATTGAATAATTAATGTCGTACATAATAGTGAAATATAAAAATATACACTCACCAGGGGAAATTCGGCAACGACTGGCACAAACACGTTGTTCATCGGTGAACCGGGCACTGACGTAACATTATTTCAAATTTGGACGACGCCATTGGCTTGTACCTAACTTCACTCTGTCCGACGCGCGTTACTCAAGACCAATGAAGCGTGTACGCGGTTTTTGAGAGAAATTTTGCAATTCAAATTGAGCCAGAGAAGGTGACACTTTTTTAGGCGTCGGAAAAAGATGTTTTTTTAAACTAATAATTATTTTGTTTTATTCCGTTTTTTAAAAACAAATATTTTGTGTTCTTTGTTTTGGTATAATATTACATTTCAAAAAACCATGTACTGGTCAAATTATAAAAAATATTCCGATAACTATAGTAAAATGTATGTATGGGGCCAGCCAGGGGAGTATACATTTAGTACTATTTTCCCTTATTGTAAACAAAATGATTAGGTTTCTTAATAGAATACTATGTGGAACAAATAAAATACACTATTATGTATTAATTAACATATAAAATAACAACAATTTGTATAATTTAATATTTTTTTATTCAAAGGCCATCAAAGTACCCAATACCGTATAATGACTCGGGTGTATGTTTGTTACTTCTTCATGTCTAAACGGCTGGAGCGATTTTAATAAAATTTGGACTGGAGTTAGCTGACACCCTGGCTGGATTAACACATAGGCTATGTTTTACTGTGAGGAAATATTCCTAATAAACGGCGGGTAACACCGCGGGGCACAACTAGTAAAAAATAAAGGTTGGTTATGACAAAAAATGTTTTAAAGCAAATCGAAATAAAATTCAAAAAAATACTCAAGTGCCAGTACACTGCTAAAACAAAATCTATGTGTAAATTACCGAAATATTTCAAGGAAAACACTTTTTGGATTTAATTAAACATTTACCATTAAAAATTATTGGTAATCATAAGGATTGATTACCTCAATATTTACAAGATTATAAAATATTCATGTTCAATGTAAAAAAAATCATTGTGAATTTTTGTTCCTTCCAAAAGGCAAGAAAAGGAATCAGTCTAGCTAGAAACCTTGTTAGACCACAGAGAAAAAAAAACGCATGGACTAGCGAAAACAGTCTATGGTAAAGGAAATGAGTGAGATAACCTAAACAGAAACTTCACTCTTCAAACAAACAAAACTCATGTGAAGTTTTATTACATTACAATTTCTTGAGTAAACAATAAAACTTGCAGACTTTTTGTACGAAAAATTGCTACTGCACAGGCTTCACTGACTATTATTTAAGCTCAAGATGTTTGAATGGGTGTATACCTTATAAACAGATGATCCACCTATAACCCACGTTGACTCTATATCTTCTCTGTCCTCTATGTATTTGACAGCCTCCTGAAGACTTCCTACAACCACCACTCCTTTGGGGACCTAAAATATTAAATATTTCTCTTGTATAAAGTAATGATTTCATTATAGGTACTGTACTTTTTGAACCAGAGAAATTTTTTTTTTTTTTTTCTGTACATTTATGAATATAAAATGGAATGTGCATCCAGGCATCAAGATTCTCTAATTTTAGGTAAAGCTAGTGTCATATTGTTGTTGATTTCTTCATTCTCCAGCACAGCTTTCAGAAGCCTGCAGCATTTTCACAAGGCTGATTTAGACTGACATGAGTAAACGGGAATGTTTTGAGACACAAACAATGATCCAATAATTAGGACTGAGTGCAGAAGCCCTGAAAAACTAACTAACTATTGTTGTTGTAAATGATAAATTAAATAACTAACAAAACTTATTTTGGAGAAAAATTTACTGTCAATCTTGTGATATGTAGTGCAACATTCTTTTCATTCATTTGTATAGACCAGTGGTGGGCAAACTTTTTGAATGATGGGCCATAAAATATTTGAATTTTTAAAGGTAACAAAAATTGACAATTTCAATTAAAGAAAAAATTGTGGATCGGACAATGACAAAGAAGATGAAAATTGGAAATAATCACTTATAATATATATATATATATATATATAATAGACCATATAATATCCAAATTAAAAAACCGTCGGCAAGACCGATGTGGCCCGAGGGCCGTACTTTGCCCACCACTGGTATAGACCCACGGAATCAACATAATTTAAATAAAAAACAATCATCTCAGAAGTTAATTCATTCCCTATACATACAGTAATACTCACTTTTTGTTGTATGTCATCCACATGATGTGTAAGCACTATGTTCACTCTTCCAATCAGAGGCCTATATTTCAATGGAATGCAGTCCCATGTATTCCGACCCATTACGACAGCATTGATTTTCTTTGGATCCTTAACTAGAGTTGTCATTGATGAGAAATAAGACATTTCTTTTCTGGAATTATGGGAATTTACAGTTTAATTTTACATATAACTAAGTTTTGGGTACAAACAAACTCACACTCAAATGATAATTTGAGAATAGTGTAACATTATAAAATGTCTATACACAAATATTTTCTTTACTTTTTGTAACTAAGGAAAAGGCTACAAAACTATTGCATTTGTTCAACAACTGTGTAAAAACAGCACTGTTTAAGAAGAAGATTTCACTTAATGCTTTTTTTTATTACGATTGAACTGATTGATTGAGTTTTAATTTCAGTCTGTTTTTCAGTCTTATGGTTGCGTACAGATTAGAGGCAGCCTTACCTGAGGCACGCATGGCTCTCCCTCTTGCCTCAAATGCGCCGCGGCGCGAGTCATCAGTTGTCGGTTTCTTGACTGTGCTCAAAGGAACCTCGACGTACGTACCTCGCAAATGTTTGAGTGCGTTTTGACGTGCTTTGAGTACGGTTTTAGTCATTTTGTGTCGCGTCAGCTGCTGCCTCCCACAAAACTCCACAAACTTCAGTCTAAATTTTTTGCCAGGGCAGCCGCCACACGAGCCCTGCGTGACGAGGATGCTCACCGTGAGGAGGCCTCAGTAATAGGTTAAGTAAGCATACGTACTTTAACCTCCATGGTAGAGTCCCATTAATTCCAATTCCCATATTTTCACAAGCTGCAGCAATCAAATTTAAATGACACTTGGACATAATAGCTTTGACTTAATAGCTTGTTTTCTTTGTCCACACCTTTTAAACTAGAGCATATAAGTTGTAGGGTCTGTTGAAGTCATTACCTAATATCTAAGCTTTAGAGAAATGTCGAATGATATGAATTGGAGTGTAAAACTGTTAAATTCAAGAAAATAAATAAAGAGAAAAACAAAACCAAAACAAACAAACCCAAAATTTGTAGGTTAGGGACACGGTACGGTACAGTACGTCAACCGTCAACGTCAATTTCAATTACTTTTTGTTCTCCCTTTTCTGGGAAGGCGAGGAGAACAATGCCCTTACAGCCTGTCTATATGTCCCTGTAGGGACGAGCAAAGAATTCCATACAGCCCTGTCTGTACACTTCTTCCTTAAAGTGTTTCGACTGTAGCTTTTACAAACCTGAATTTTCCTTGTAGAAAACGTCTCTTTTATTTTTTCTGGCGCTACGCCAGCCGCTGCCGTTTTTTAGGAGATTCCATTAACTAGTGTACAGCGTGAAAACCAATCATCATTCGCAAAGTTGCACCTGGACTAGGACATAAGTGAATGGAGTGAACAATATTGTTCACTGATGAGTGTAGAGTGAATTTTTTTAGTGATGATCGTCGCATTAGGGTATGGAGACGAGAAGGTAAGCGATTTTCGGATGCTTGTATCCATGAAAGTGACAGATTTGGGGGTCCCAATGTCATGGTATGGGAAGGCAGTGGCGGGGCAAGACCTAAATTTGATGTGGGCAAGACAGATTCCACGAGGCCCTGTTCTGTGGCGACATGAAGACGGATTTTATAAAATAATAAAAAAAAAGAAATTCTCTTTTAGCAATGCATAAAAATGTTTGAGGCGCGAGGCCCCTTGTACCCCGAGGCCGTAGGCGGTGGCCCACGTCGCCCACGCCTTACGCCGCCTCTGAGAAAAGGAACCTCGCTATCAAGTCGAACCGTACTCGCAATACTCAGTAGAGGCACGGTAACGGTTGTGCGAGGAGATAATAAGAGCTCATGTGGGAGATATAGACTCTACTACAAGTGGAAGTGTCCCTCTAATAGAAACAGAAAGAAGATGAGAGACCGCTAGCTTTCTCTCTCTAATCGCGCATGCGCATTGGCAACCGTAATTATCTTACTAGGTATTTCGATGTGATTCCATATAGGATAGAGGTTAGTTTGATTTGGTTTGTTTGGTACGTCGAAGTTATATTGAGATTTATGTTAAATTATGACTATTATCAGAGTTTTATTCGTAACGAAAACTTGTAGTTAGAAATTACCGTTTCATTGAGTTTTTTTATTTGAAAATTATATACAATTTATATTAAATTTCAAAATATTTCACAAAATATGTCACAAAAGAGAAAGATAGCTAGCGGTCTCTCATCTTCTTTCTCTTTTTACTGGACGGACACTTTTAGAGCCGCCTTCCCCACTCTATTCTTATACCTCTATGACCGCTACATGATTAACAGTGATGGTAAACAGCGTGTACAACTGCGCGGTTTGCAACGTCCACCCGTTAAACAAAGGACGTTGCAAGGTTAAACGAAATTTGGTGTGCAATAGCCGTACACGTTTTTTTTTTAATAATTCATGACCATGCATGCAAGTCCTTTAGTCACACATGGTTATAAACTAGCAAGATTACAAGTGTATACAACGGTGTTTACTACCATATAGAACGCGTTTAACATTGAGACATCATCCTACGACATAGGTATATAGAATTTGGCAATTAAATAAAGGATTCAGGTGATGTAACGAATGTCATTTTTTCAACATTCGCGAATGCGAATGTCTGGTACCGACATTCGCGAATACGAATGCGAATATTTATTTTTTTTTAAATTGGCGCCAATTGTCTATGGCATGGTGGCAGTCTCGTTTGAATTGCCGAATGCCGAGTTGATATAAAGCATCCGACTGAAGTGTCATTCCGCTCGCACCGGTCTTTCCGTAAACAAAACAAGTGAATTTTGAGGTTAGTGATTGTGAGTGGTAATAGTGATTTATTAACATGAGTATATCGAATTCTAGTGCAACATGGACTTATTTCACACTTTGCGATGCTGAACGAGCTAAATGCAAACTGTGTAACAATGAATGCAGAACTACCTACAACTTCTTCAAATTGTTTTTTTCTAATATTCATATTCGCAAAACATTCGCAGAGATTTTGCGAATGCGAATATTCGTTACATCACTAATTCGCTATAAAAACCACCAACATTAATTCCAGTTAATATAAATGGAGTAAAGTAATCATAATAATAATAAACAAATAAATCATAACAATGAAAGGATAAGGGTAAGTATAATTTGTGTAATTAATAAAAGACCATTTAGATTTAAGATTAACTTTAATCGGTTGTCAATAATACATTAATATTACATACGATGAAACTACTTTCAACGCCATCCCAAGTATTTTTAACAAAAAATAACGGGTCTTATAATACTCTTCAAATTAAAATACTGAAAGCATTTGGGCACAGCGTTGAGAAAATTATAACCTAATAAATGGCAGTTATTCCTATTTGCGGCCGGTTCTTATGGCGACGCCATCTTGGCATTAAATTTTATTGGATCATTCGAAATAGGAATAAAGCCACTTAACTAACCTATTTTCCATAATACTAAAAGAAATGAAAATAAAATGAAATTTAAATCTTACATGCTAGGGTTTTTTTTTGTTATTGAATAAGAATACAGTAACATTCAAACTACATAGAAAGAAATGTGAATTTTAACGAAAATAGATTGTAAATGTCGAAAACGCAATGGCAGCGATTTTTTACTTAAAACACTCGTTGTTAGGTCCAAAATCGCTTGCGGCGTTCAGTCTTAGCTTTATTTTTCGTGAAAAAAGTGAACAAGTATTTTTGTTACAAGTGAAGTTGGATTTTTTTACAAACCTTAATTTTTTTTTGTTTTTTTTTTACGTTTTATTTTTTTTCTTTCGCTCTATCCCGGAATGGGCGAATAGTACACGACCATATAATTATATATACTGCTCGTAATATTAATAATAGTAAGTAATTAAAGAATTAACTTCAACGTATTTCTACCATTGCAGATTTGAATGCAAAAATGCTGTTCGATATTTTATGTGTAAGAAAGCGCGAATTTTCAAAGCTGAAATTGTAGAAACGAAATTATACTTAATAATCTTGTGACCGTCCGTGCAAATAAGGATATTTATAAAATAAAGTAAACAATATAAATCATTCTTATTCAAATTGTTTTACTTTCCAAAAAAACCACAGAAAATTAACGTTTTAATAGAATTACCAAACTTTTCTTGCATATTTTATTATATAAATGGCATTTCTACAAGAAATTTAGCGTATTACAAGTCAGGTCACAAAATATACCACTAGAAATACAATACAATACATAATCTAAGAAACTACGTTACTAACTTGTTGGTGCCTTTAAAATGCCTTGCGAGATAAAAAGTTGTTAATTAAAAAAGAACAAGGCCTTCGCACTCACCTGGCGACAGAAAGGGAGAAAAGATGTTTAACCAGAGTAGAGTTCTTGAAACTTGCGAGTAACAAAATCGGCAAGATATATCTGTCCATTCGGTTTAAAAGGTAAAGCGTCCAAGTGTTATTCGACGCAAAGAAAATAAATTTTAAAGAAACATGAAGAAACATGTTCCTGAAATTCAAACATGTTCCTAAAAGCCAAACTTGCCCCTTAAAAAAAAATAGAACTTACGCTCTTAAAAGGAGAAGTCCACCTTTGTTTATTGTTAAGACTCAATTTGCCAAAGAAATGAGCATTGCATTTATTCATTTTAAAGACGACTATATTCCGAAGGACAAATGTATCTCCGATTGAATGTTTATTCGGCCTTGTTTTACTGCATATTGTAGTGCAAGAATATGTAATCTGGGTTGTTGATTTCCTGCATTATGGGCGAATTCGGGGGCAGTACTTGGAAACCCATAAACATGAAGGTGCGAAGGAGCGTCGCCCGATCCGGGCGTGTCTTCAGAACGCATATGATGCAGCTATAAAGAAACAGAAACCATGAATTAGAAATTTTTTAGATAATCCTGACCTTCCTTAGCCCAGAAACTTGGTCATATAGTAATTTATGGTCGCCGAATCCGAATCAGATTTGGGATTGCGGTCCACCCAGGGGCCCAGAGGACACCCCTCCCGTGGCTTTGGAATTGTGGTCCACCCAGGAGCCCAGGGGACACCCCTCCCGTGGCTTTGGAATTGTGGTCCACCCAGGGGCCCAGGGAACACCCCTCCCGTGGCTTTGGAATTGTGGTCCACCCCGGGGCCCAGGGGACACCCCTCCCGTATCTTTGGAATTGTGGTCCACCCAGGGGCCCAGGGGACACCCCTCCCGTGGCTTTAGAATTGTGGTCCACCCAGGGGCCCAGGGAACTCCCTTCCTGTAGGTTTGGAATTGTGGTCCACCCTAGGTTCCCAGGATACCCCCTCCCGTGGGTTTGGAATTGTGGTTCACCCTAGGATCCCAGGACACCCCCTCCCGTGGGTTTAGAATTGTGGTCCACCCTAGGATCCCAGGAAACCCCCTCCCGTGAGTTTGGAATCGTGGTTCACCCTAGGATCCCAGGATACCCCCCTTACGTGGTTTTGGGATTGTGGTCCACCCAGGGATATGCTCTCCCGTCTGACCACAGATTTGGATTTAGCGACCACAAATTACTATCATAATCATCAGCCTATTAGAGTCCCCACTGCTGGGGCACAAGCCTTCCCTACGAATGGAATAGTGAGTTTTTGGGCCATGACCCACCATGCGGGCCCAGTGCGGATTGTTGGGTGCTAACGACTGCAGATACAGCCGGGACCAACGGCTTAACGTGCCTTCCGAAGTACGGAGGAGTTAGAGATAGTAAATTTTTGGTCACCCATCCAATGACCAACCACTTGTGCCATCGAGCTCCTCCAAATAACTATATGGTATGGTAAAGGATACAATGTTGACAAATTACTATATGGCCGAGTTTTTACGCTTGGATCAGAAGAGAAAACAGAAACATTTTGAGGACAACTGAGGGGCATCTCCGTGCAGAAAAACAGACAGACACAAACCATATAGTTTTGAGTCCCAAGAAAGGATATTTTTATCCCAGAAATCGTCCTGTAAGGGACCACCCGCCTATCTATTCTATGACCCTTCTTTCTCCAGATTCAAACCATCTATTTAGAAAATTTATTATAATATAAAAAGTGAAGAGGTAACAGACAGAAACGCTTTCGCATTTGACTAGAAAAAAAATCTACCCTGTAAAGTTGTCAGGCAGGATTCGAACCTGCGTTCAGCAGACGGGACGATGTTCTAACATAATATTCCTCATGTCTCCTTGTCAAAAATATACATTATTTCAATATCTGCTAGATTGATAAATCTAACGAAAATTTTACTAGAAAATATTCAGACGGAACAGGCAGCCGACGGGACTCGAACCCGCACCCTCCGCTATCCGGGCGGATGCACTGACCGTTATGCTACCGCGGCCCTAAAGGCCGTGTCGAATTTTCTCTATCCGTAGGCTGCAAGCTCTTCGCATTGGAAGCATCCCTGGTCCGCGTGGAATTTAAACATCTAACAGTTTAATGCTTAAAAAACAAACACGCCTTACAGTAGTCGCGTATGATGTGTAACATTTGAAACCTCACCTTATATAAGTAAAAAAAGAAATAAAACCTACTACAAAAGGAATAAACATTATGTTCTAAAATCAAATCAAATAGCGCGCGTTTCCCAAACTTCCTGTTACACACTTCCGTCCCACTTCACGGAATCACTCCCACAAATTTCACGAAAGCGAGAGGAAAGATGTTACACATCAAAAATATAACTAAATACTAACTTGTTGCAAGCCAGCCTTTCCTCGGCGAAGTCTAGGAGTAGCATGAAGCTCTCCTTACTGCCGGACTGAAGAACACCAGGTACTCGCAGGTAAATAGTATTCCCTTGCACTACCTGCGCCGACAATATTTCATTTCATCTCAGGTAACTCTGTTACTTACAGTTTATAATGATTAAGGTTTGGATAGCATAGAGGTATAAGAATAGAGTGGGGAAGGCGGCTCCCAGTGTCCTTCTAGTAGAAAGAGAAAGAAGATGAGAGACCGCTAGTTATCTCTCTCTCTTGTGACGCATGGCATCCAATGGCATCACATCGAAATAGTAAGATGCTTACGGTTGCCAATGCGCATGCGCGATTAGAGAGAGAAAGCTAGCGGTCTCTCATCACCTTTCTCTTTTTTATTAGAGGGACACTTCCACTTGTAGTAGAGTCTATATCTCCCCTACTCTATTCTTATACCTCTATGTTGGATAGTCAGGAATGAGGTTTCAAAAGTGAGTGAGTGAGGTTTGAAAAGTGAGTGAGTAAGGTATGAAGAGTGAGTGAGATAAGTTTGAAGAGTAAGTGAGTTAGATCTGAAGAGTGAATGAGTGAGGATTGAAGTGTGTAAATAAGGTCTTGAGAGTGAGTGGGAATTAAAGAGCGAGTAAGATTTGAGGAATGAGTCATGGTAGTTTGAAGAATGAGGGAATGCGGTTTGCTGAATGAGTGAACAAGTTTTGAAAAATGAGTGAATGAGGTTTGAAGAATGAATGAATGAAATTTCAAGAGTTAGTGTGTGAGGTTTGTAGAGTGATTGATTAGGGCCTGAAGAGTGAATCAGTGAGAATTGAAGAGTGAGTGAGATCTAAAGAATGAGTGAATGGCATGAAAGAGTTTTTGGACTTACAGCTTCCCAGCGGACCATGGTGTTCTCAGTGAGGAATATCTTGAAATCGATCTTCGTCGGCTGTCGGTCTTTGCGCTCCAGAATCTTGCTTATAGCCTACAAACGAAATTAGACTTTATTTCGTGGTGTTCAGAATAATTTTGATACACTCGTAATCGTTTTGAGACTCTTTAATCCGGACTTTTTTTTACTATTCTATTCAACTTTTATATTCGTCCCGATGCTTTAGCTTAGTAGAATATGAATAAGAATTGTAAGATCAGTATTTTTTTGCAAATATGTAACTTATTAATTTTATTTAATAACAAAGTTTTTTAACAACAAAATAAAAGTAACAGTGTCCTAAATAAGGCATTTTACTCTTGTAAGTATCCCACTTCCTACTTTTCCTACTAATATTATAAATGTGATAGTTTGTGTGTTTGTATAATTTTAAGTTTGTTACTCAATCACGCAAAAACTACTAAACGGATTTGGATGAAACTTTACACAAGGACAGCTTTATAACCTGGAAATAGACATGGGATACTTTTTCTACCTGAAAAATGTTACTCATTGGTACAGCTGGTCGCTAGTATAGTATAAAAATAAAGAATATTATGGTTCATAGGCTCAACAAATTAAAAATTATGTGGAAGCATTACTCTTTAACAAGGTAAAACATGGTTCCAAATTCATACAACTAAACTTCAATACTAACACGACACGAACGTGACAAATCTATAAGTATATATAAAAAAAACATCCGAGGAGGTTCTAACGAAATTAAAAAAAAACCGTAAATGATGCGCACGGCGCCCTGTATGGAAGCGTGCGGTAAAATGTTTTACCGCACGCTCCTGTCAGGCCAGTAATTTCGAACAATGTACACAACCTCCGTAATTTTTTTTTAAGCAAGTATGTTGAAAATACATATTATTATGTCATTTCTAATTCGTTGGATATGCTTACCTCCTGCTGCGACTGCGCGTGGATGGGTGACCGCGCGCCGGAGTCGGTGACGAGACTCTCCGAGCTGCCGGTGAGGGAACTCGCGCTGGCCCATAGCAAGGCTACCAACAAGTCACCTGCGCACAAATATTTTGACGTGATAAACGTACCCCGCAAGGAGGACCACAGATGCGCTGGAAGGATAACGTGATTCTTGAAGTTATCCTTCCAGCGCATCTGTGGTCCTCCTTGTGGTCCTTGTTGCAGGCTCGAATCGGATACAGAGGGCACAATGCCGCAATTAATGGAAATTGATGAGGAAGGCCTACACCCAGATAGTTCAAAAACAAGGCTGAAGAATAACGTCTTATACATCGATAAGCACTGGCTGCAAGCACAAAAAAGTGAGCAGTCAGTCACTTTATGTGAGGGCTCCTTCGACATCCTGGATTCCTTTTCTCCTCGAAGAATGCCCCACCCTCGCGGAGCTTAACTCAGACCCCCAAAGAGCTACAGAGGCGTGTTTGGGCTCAAACAAACCGGAACCAAAAACCTCACCAAAACTGCCCCGAGGAAAACAGCGACACGTTATCAAATAAAATATTTTCATTTAATTTCATTCTATCCTTAGAGAAGGACTGTGCCCCACCCCAGTAGTGGGGAGAATAATAATTACAAATAAAATGAAATTTATTCAAATTAATTTATTTGAAAGTGCTCGTCTCTCCTACCCCACCCGGGACTCGTCGTAAAGATATATGTAGATAGATATAAATTTCAAAATACACCAGCGAGTTCTGCGGTGAAAAGTGACTTTGTTCTTACGAAGAAACCACTTTGAAAAGTGACTTTGTTCTTACCTAGAAATAAATCCGAGCGGATTTATTTCTAGTATTCTCTTTAGGTTTCTAAATCTAGCACTTTAGTGATGAAAATGACCATGTAATAAGTTACTTACGGTTGTTTTCGTCGTGTACTGGGGTGGATGGGGTAGCGGGGCTCGAAGCCCCGCTATTCACCCCTCCGGGCGGTGCAGAGTCGTGAGCAGGGACATCAGGACCACCTGCAGATTACCAAATCTATCATCAGTAATCTAATTGAATTAAATAATCATCATCAGCATATTTAAAACTCCTTTGACCGACAGCCGTCTGTTGTCAACTAGTCAACTTCAGTAGACTCTGTTATAAAATACAGGGAGAAAAAAACAGCCCTGACTTTCTTGCCGGTTCTTCTTATACCGTGTGACCGTGTAGGTCACCTGCCGTAAATTTACGAACTGATGACGTAGCTTTTCGACATTCACAGTAGGGCTTGTTGTAACAAGGCTGTTAGGCTGTTGCCTAGACCGAATAAATGATATTGAATTAGAATTAGAATAAAAAATTTGTATTAGATGGTCGCGCGTTCGAGCACCCTCATCAAAGAAGTGAACTTCTTCGCCGTATGTTGTCCGCTAGTCAACTTCAGTTGTCATCAGTCGGGTGACCTCAGTCATTGAGAAAGAGGACGAGACAATCTAGCAATAAGTCACGTGGATCTACTGAACAGGGCGATACTTGACTATAGTACAAGCGCGCATCAAGATGTTTCAACTAGAGTTACCATCCGTCCAGATTATTCCGGACTTTTAGACTCTAGACTTAGACCGGCTCTTTAATTTGTCCGGATTTTTAAGGCAATGCGAGCGTATGCAACTATGCCTTCTATATGTAACTAAGTGGGTAATTTTTCCATTTCATGACTAAAAAGCCGGGACTTTTATTGAAATGTCAGGTTTTTTATCAGAACTTTTGAATTTCATAAATAGTAACCCTACCTTAGACACAGACGATAGCGCGTAGCTGCAAGTGAACATGCGATTATACGCCAACATCTAAACGGTCCTATGAAATTATTTAGAAACTACCTATATGCGCATGAGTAAGTCACTAGCCGATCGACCACGGCGAAAGCCGTTTTGACGGTCACTGATCAGCTGGTGCTCCTCAGATAACTAAGGAGGTTTAATGATGCGCTCCATTACCTTAGAAAGCAGTGATGTAATAGCAATGGGTCGGTAGTTTATGGATCTGAACGGTTACCCTTCTTAGGGATGGTACTAGGGCTACCTTCCACGAAGAGGTTACTATGCCAGCGGCATAAGAGTGAGAGTAAAGGCGCACTGGAGTCAGCTTATAATATATTGTATAAATATGGATACTCAATTACTCACCACAGAGGCCCGGCGCCCAGGCACAGCGAAAAGCACTCGGCGTCGGAAGCCGACAAAGCCGAGCGCTTGCTGCCCGCAGCGCTCAGCGACGCGCCATCGCCGCTGCAAAGAAAAACAATCAGACTGATAGACAGAATTCGCTTTACTAAGTTGAATTTATTAACTAGGCACATTCACATGACAAGTTTACAATCCACCGAAAGAGACGCGCTCGCCACACACAGGGAATCCCCCTTCGCATCTGTCAGTTCATTTTGACACCTAGTGCAGCCGAAAGTTAAAGCTAAACAATAAGGACGTCGCTTATCGATTGAAGTTCGTTTGTTTCGTCTAACAGTTTTATATTCAATTAATTTCAACTTGACCCAAAATTCTAACCCGATTGCGGGTTGGGTTAGGAACTTGAAACAATTGTTAAAATAAAATCCATGCGTTCGGATTTTATTATATAGTTTTACCAAAATACCGATGAACGCTATAGGTCGCTGGGTCAGGTAAAGTTCAGTCCTTACCATACCTTAGCGTTTTCGCCCTTACCGTAGCACAGTGTTTTATGGAACCAAAAAAATTTACATGTTCAGGTTCTTACATAAATAGATTATTTATACCCTAAAAAAGGCATGAGTTCAATTTACAGAAGTCTAACTCAAATACTTTTTGAGAAAAAAAATCATGAACTTATCGTGACCTTTGCCCTATGAAATCTAGAATATTTTTTTATAAAGTGAATATTAACAATATATTTTTTTAATAAATATGTGTCAATCGGGCATAATCAGAGGCGTATAAACGCGTTTCTTTAGCTTAAAAAAATGCATTGGTTTGGGAGCAGCATTTTTTTTTGTATTTCGTATTTATTGTTTTTTCTCCCTAAAAACGAAAAAGTGGAACCTGGATTAAGTACAGAAAGGTTCTATAAGCCAAGTTCTATCACCCATAAAAAATCAAGTTTCACTTTTGCGGTTTTAAGAAGTTATGACAGAATTTAGATAAAGGTCAACTTTCATGATCTAGGGTTGAAAAATATGTCCGTTTTTATAGTTGGCACCCGATAATAGTAACAGTTCATAAAATCCTCATGCACGGTGAAGAAATTATTGCGTCCAGTGCACTGCCCATCGGTATGCTATCTGAACAAGCAGCTGAGTCCCGAAATAAATTCTAGCGTTCAGACAGAGAGCATCATTGCCGAAAAATGAACAGGAGAACCACAATGACGGACCTCTTTCACCGTGCCCTAGAATCATCAGACCCGTTTATTTCTATGGCAAATATCAGCCAACGTCGAAAATATTCTAAGCGATTTCCCTTGCCTTCAGCTGTTTGCGAGCTCTTACAACCAATTGATGCAGATCGCTTGCCGTTATTCGAAGCAGAGGAAGATGCTGAAGATGAAGATTTTTCGAACGTCGCAAATGAAAGCAACCTAGAATTATTAAACGAAGATGATTTATTTGTATAAAAGTTAAAGTAGAGGTGTTGCATAAAGAAGGTGCCGGCAGGTGATGACACTATCCTAGATTGATTTTAAATGTGAATGAATTTCTAAATCCAAAATTTCATCACAATCGTTAGATCCGTTTCCGAGAAACCAATTACATACCAATATATTTATATAGGTACATACAATAATTGCTCGTTTATAGTATAGGATGTGTGTTAAATTTTTTCAAACAACTTAGTTTATTTTTTCGTTGCCATTTAGCGTGTAAGGAAAATTTAAAATGTGGTCGTCAAAATTAAAACATAAAGTATTCCTACATTATCACATCTACATTAGGTAGGTAGTATATGTAAGTATATTGTATTCGTCTATAGTACAACACTTATTCAATTATAATATAATATAATTAATTCAATTGATTGACGGTATTAATAACAAAAAAAAAAACATTTTCATTTAACTCACAGTTGACCTTTGTGACAACCCTAGATCATGAAAGTTGACCTTTATCTAAATTCTGTCATAACTTCTTAAAACCGCAAAAGTGAAACTTGATTTTTTTATGGGTGATAGAACTTGGGTTATAGAACCTTTCTGTACTAAATCCAGGTTCCACATTTGCCGATTTTTGGAGAAAAAAATTAAAAATCGAAATTAAAAAAAACTATGTTTCTTGGAAACTAGGACACTTATAAATAAAATAAAATTACAAAATTATGCCATCAATAATTCCTTAGCAATTGGCAAATATCTCATGGACAGATATGGAACCGTCTTTTGAGGAAATTAAATTGTTAATTTTTTCATGTGCAAATTTCAAAAACTTTGCTACTTCATATCTTTTTTTTTACTTAAAATAGTGATCTGGGAATTGAACTCTTGCCTTTATTAGGGTTTAAATAATTGATTTATGCAAAAACCTTAAGGTGTAAATATTTTTGGTTCTATAAAACACTGTGCGTAGGGAAAAAGACTACGTTCGGAACCAATCGAGTGATGGAAGCCGCTTGACATCAGGCGGGCAAAAAGCTTCTTACATAAAAAAATGTACGCTCGGTCGTTATACATCACATTTGATTACATGTTTCTTTATAGAATACCAAAATAGCAATATGATGTTACATTTAAATAAACAGTATGAAAATTTTAATGTCAATTTCGTGCACGTCATATTGACTTGACGTTTATAAAGGTTTCGTACAAGAAAGGTCGATGACACAGGACACAGACCACCTTATTACAAAGCGTCAAGTAGACGAGACTTGAGGGCGAACGCGCATCTGGATTTTGCATGAGGCGGTGTTCAATCTGTAAACGTGTCTCTCGTATTGAGAGGATACGCAAGACCATTACTTTATTTCTTTCTACACAAATCAATTAGCCTAGCCCCGAAGTAAGCACTATAATGCTTGTGTTATGGGTTACTAGGGTAACGGATAGAATACGTTATATATTGTAATATATATAAGTACAAGCAAAGTAAGCTCTCAGCAGTGGAGCTCGATGGCGCAAGTGGTTAGCGCGTTCGGCTGCAATCGTTGAACTTAAGCAACTTTCGCAGTGGTCGGTCATTGGATGGGAGACCAAAAATTACTATCTCGAGCTCCTCCGTGCTTCGGAAGGCACGTTAAGCCGTTGGTCCCGGCTGCATCTGCAGTCGTTAGCACCCACCAATCCGCACTGAGTCCGCGTGGTGGGTCATGGCCCAATCGCCCTATTCCATCCATAGGGAAGGCCTGTGCCCCAGCAGTGGGGACATTAATAGGCTGATGATGATGATGGTATATTTTTATAGAAATAGATATAAAACATCCATGACTGGAGTACAAATGCTCGTATTCATCACACAAACATTGGCCCCAAATTTCAAATCCCGGTGTTGAACCCGGGACCTCTCGAGTCAGCGACACCATGAAACCCGGCGTACAAACCACTCGGCCACGGAAGTCGTCGAAATGTTCGTTGGAAAACTATGGTCGTTGGCTCTTCAATAAACCCTACCTATATAATAATTCCACGATTGCAGACCAAGCACGGTATTAACTGCGCCAGTCTCTCACTAAGGCGATGCGTCGTGACTCGTGATTGATTTAGTACTGATTTTTGCTTGATTAATTATTACAAATGTGATAGTATTTACTTTTATTAGTGTAATAAAAATACTTAATAATAAACCAAGCAAAAAATTCTGATCCAAATAGGATCACCATACGGCAGGATTTATCAGGACACATCAGAACATTTAATATACTTTTGCAAAGATTTTGTACGTCTCACTTGCATTATTTCTCCCGCTTACTCTAGCTTTGCAAGTATTTGCATAAAAATACATAAGAATTATCTATTCAGTAATTATTTTACAAATCTGCCACATTCCCACAGTATTTGTGTCTTTTGTTACTATAATGTGTGGGCTTAAAATACAAAGTCCTTGTTTTTGTCAGGATATTTGAATGGTATCCATGTAATATTGTACTTATTTTAAGAGGAGAGATAGCATAGTCGTGTTTGCACTGTCATATAGAAAAATTATTGTATGTACGTTCCTTCTTGGAATAAATTTGTTTACAACAGGGTAATGATATAGTGATAAAACTAATAAAACGGGTCAAGTGCGAGTCGAACCAGCAAATGGAGGGTTCCGCACTATAAACAAATATTAAATCTAAATCGAGCAAAACAAGTCCATTTTAAGTAATATGACCTCCTTGGCCGAGTGGTTTGTACGCCGGTATTCATGGTGTCGCCGACTCGAGAGGTCCCGGGTTCGAATCCCGGTGGGGGCAGCTGTTTGTGTGATGAATACGAGCATTTGTACTCCAGTCATGGATGTTTAATATGTATTTCTATATTAATATACTTATATATGTATTCTATTCGTTACCCTAGTATCCCATAACACAGGCCTTATAGTGCTTAGCTTGGGGCTAGACTAATTGGTGTGAGTGTTGGAAATATTCATTTATTCTTTATATTACTTTAGTGTGATAGCGCCCACAGTAGGTAACACACATTTTGTGATAATTTCAGGTGTCCACATTTCTGTTCCAGAAATAAAGCCGTATTACAGACAGACAACGCAGGCAATAAAAGGGTTTCATACGGAACCCTAACAAGAAAGTAATAAAAACCACATTATATATTGTGCAATTAACAAGAGAGAAGAATTGTTTAAACTGTTATTAGGGCTATCTGTTTAATCCAACAAACGTACAGACTAAGTAATTAAATAATTACTTGATAGTAAAGAGGTCGTAAATGCACACTTGAAGTATGACAACATCTCCCAAATTTGAAGTTCTTTTCCTTTTGCGCATTGAAGCATACATTATAATTGCTACTAAATGGTTTTGCTAATAAGAGGTACTATAATGTTACACATAAAAAGAATTTAGCGAAACAATAATTTTACAGCATAAATTAGAAAATTATCTTAATTTGTAATTTATTGTACTAGCGACCGCCCGCGACTTCGTCCGCATTAAGTTATAGTTTTTTTTTCTAAAATAAAAAAAAAACTATAATCAAAGTAGCCTAACTTACTCCTTATTATATCAGCTACCTGCCAATAAACGTCCCGTCAAAATCTGTCCAGCCATTTCATAGATTAGCCGGAACAAACAGACAGACAAAAATTGTAAAAAAATGTTATTTTGGTGCATGTACCGTCTATATATTCATATGCATGTAGTAAAAAGCGGTTATTTCAATATTACAAACAGGCACTCCAATTTTATTTATATGTATAGATAGATGTAGCCAGGAGGGGTGCGCTGCAGTCGGATTTAAAAGTTTTTTAAAAAAATTTGGGAAGGACTTAAGTCTACCGAAGCCGCTAGTTTTCAATAATTAAATACAATAGAATGTAATGTGCTGGCGGGCACCACCCCCGTGATCGCAATGTCAACAACCTGTGCCAACAACGCATTTTAGCGGGGTCAAGGCCACAATGAAATAAATAAAATAAAACAACAATTTAATAAAAACAAGTCGTAGGTACTGCATTTTTGAAAGAGCTTACGGGTTTTAAAAATGTTACGAGTATTGTTATGTTTTTCAGTACCAATATCATAGGGTATAATAAGTCGACTTTTTTTGGTAAAAAAGATTTTAATCATAATCTATTAATTATTAATTTGATGCCTATAATAAAAAAATATGGAAATGCGACTTACCAATGCAGTTTCACAACCATTATTCATTCAACGATGAAAAAAACAGATTCAAGCTAAATATATCACAAATTGGAATGTTTTAATAAATAATAACAATAATGATAATTAAATAATATCAAAAAAACTAAATACGTATTATTGATTTGGGCTCCAATAATTTTCTGTAAAATATGCTGTAAAACATGTACAGCATACTACGTTTATTGGAAATTTTTATAAATATATTTTTAAAAATATGTTTTTATAGCAAGGCAACTTAGTGAAAGGGCGGTCTAAAAGCTACTGATACGAAAATCGGAATAAACAGATCTGGAGCCAAATGTAAGAGTTCTTGCCAAAACCGAAAATAGATTCCGTTATAGAATTAAAACAATGTGGGGCGAGAATGTTTTGGCGGGATTATATATTTTTTTTCGTCTCGATTTGATGTTAATCAAATCAAAATGAATTCTACACTAAAAGGGGACCTTGGGGAAATATGCAGGTCGCTTTTTGGGTGAAATCGATACTTAATAATAATAGGTTTTTAATATCATTGGAAAACAAACTGAAATTCTTTTGTCAGTACAGTCTCAGTTACTCACAAAAATAAAGAATTATATTTTAGGGTTCCGTACCTCAAAAGGAAAAAAACGGAACCCTTGTAGGAAGACTTTGTTGTCCGTCCGTCTGTCAAGACCGTTTTTCTCGTGAACGCGTAGAGGTATTAAATTGAATTTGTACGAAACCCTCGGTGCGCGAGTCCAACTTGCACTTGGCCTTTTTATTTGATGTAGGAAGTATTTCTTTTTTATTGGCGACTTTTTACTAGATGCCGTTATAAGAGAAACTAAAGTGTTGAAGTAAAAACTTTTAATGACATCATAAATGATTTAGACAAAATAATATTTATATAACACTAGAGGTAGCCCGCGACTTCGTCTGCGTTAACTTATTTTCTTGAAAATCCCTCTGGAACCTAACATTTTTTCGGGATAAAAGTAGCCTATGTGTTAATCTAGGGTGTCAGCTAACTCCATACCAAATTTTATTAAAATCGCTCCAGCCGTTTAGACGTGAAGAAGTAACAAACATACACACTCACATACTCACAAACTTTCGCCTTTATAATATTAGTGTGATTAACAAATGAAGTTCACTAACAATTTACCTCATTTATGAATAGCTAAATAACGGCATCGGTGCCAAAACTCTAAAAAGATCCTTTTTTTGCTATACACAATTTACTAATTGGAGCGTGATATTTCTGCACAATTCAATTTAAATAAAACACTGTTTCAACGGGTTTTAAGATGCGTGTTTCTCTGACATATCTCTACGTTTCTATCTTACGTTCTCAAGAGTATGATTCTAATTAAACGCATGTTAAAACAGTGTTTTATTTATTGAGTGGTGTGATTTAAATATACCTTATTAAAGTTTATATGAAGAAAAATATTCTTTCAAAAAATAACTATAAAAGTCGCATGACCAATAGTTTCTACCAAAAGAACTTATTCAAACTCGATGCCAACCTTCACCGTCTTGAAACTCTGCCATTACGAACGTTATTATGGAGATAATGGACGAAAATAAATATTTTTATTTTTATACGCTCGACTCTCCCTGTTCGTATGACGTAAATAGAGAAAGCATGCTTCTATTATAAAGTGAGGAGCTGAATGTCGTGGTGATTAATGCATTACCTACAAAAAAAACCAGATCTCGATCGATCTCAGTTTGATAGATATTTTATTGATGACATCAAATCTAAGTTCATTGTGATTATATAGTGTGTTTCGCTTTGTATTTAATTTTAACTATATCTAATAGTCTAACAATTATTTTATAATAATGGTTCGCCAGGTGTTTTTAATCACCAATTAAGAAGCACTTTATGATCTATCTTAAAATTTTCTTAAAGTACTGCAGCCAAATTAAAATGTCTGTCTGTTGTGTTTTTGCCAGAGATGTTATGAAGCTTTGTAACGGTAACTATCGTCTGATAGTTACTACTATCCGAAATAAGAATTCATCCGGAATTGTACCCGAAACCGATATAAGAGTGCCTTATCAGATATTTTTCGATAGGTAGGAGGTTTAAATGCGACTCTCTGCTGGACAAAAATTATGAGAAAATGCGAAATGATTTTATCAACGCAATAACCGATATAATATTATTCTTAATTAACTATGAAATGATCGTATCTGTAACTAGCT